TGGCGTTCTGTTAAGGGCCATTCAGTCCCTTTACCAGAAGAGTGTGAGTTTGGTCCGCATAGCCGGTAGTAAGTCGGACCTGTTCCCAGTGAGGGTTGGACTCAGCCAGGGCTGCCCTTTGTCACCGGTTCTGTTCATTACCTTTATGCACATAATTTCCAGGTGCAGCCATGGTGTGGAGTGTGTTGAGATTGGTGGAAGGAGAAACTTGTCTCTGCTTTTTGCGGATGATGTGGTCCTCCTAGCTTCATCCAGCTCTGACCTTCAGCTCTTGCTGGGTAGGTTCGCGGCCGAGTGTGAAGCGGCTGGGATGAGGATCAGCACCTCCAAATCTGAGACCATGGTTCTCGACCAGAAAAGGGTGGCTTGCCAACTCCGGGTCAGGGGAGAGGTCCTACCTCAAGTGGAGGAGTTTAAGTATCTCAGGTTCTTGTTCAAGAGTGAGGGTAGGAGGGATCGGGAGTTCGACAGGTGGATTGGTTCAGCATCTGCAGTGATGCGGACGCTGGGCCGATCTGTCGTGGTGAAGAGGGAGCTGAGCCAGAAAGCCAGGCTCTTGATTTACCGGTCGATCTACGTCCCAATCCTCACCTATGGTCATGAGCTTTGGGTAATGACCGAAAGAACGAGATCGTGGATACAAACAGCCGAAATGAGTTTCCTCTGTAGGGTGGCCGGGCTCAGCCTTAGAGATAGGGTGAGGAGCTCGGACATTCGGGAGGGACTTGGAGTAGAACTGCTGCTCCTCCGGATCGAAAGGAGCCAGTTGATGTGGTTTGGGCATCTGGTCAGGATGCCTCCTGGACGCCTCCCCGGGGAGGTGTTTCGGGCATGTCCTGCAGGCAGGAGGCCCCCAGGTCGACCCAGGACACGTTGGAGAGGTTACATCTCCAATCTGGTCCGGGAATGCCTTGGGGTCCTGCCGGAGGAGCTGGTGGAGAAGGCCGGGGAGAGGACGGTCTGGAGGTCCCTAGTTGGGATTCTACCCCCGCGACCCGGACCCGGATAAGCGGAGGAAGACGACGACGACACCTAGTCACCGTGTAGCTAAACGCCTGTTGTCTATGGATGCTGAAAAAGCGTTCAATAGGGTTGAGTGGGATTATTTATTTTTTACATTACAGAAATTTGGTTTTGGTCCTTTATTTCAATCCTGGGTTAAACTATTGAATGTGAACCCAGTAGCATCAGTGCTTACAAACGGCCATTGCTCTGATTACTTTAGACTTTACTGTGGGGTGAGGCAGGGCTGTCCTTTGAGCCCCCTCCTCTTCACCTTGGCCATTGAGCCACTTGCTATTGCGGTTCGTGGCAGTGGTGAAATACAGGGCATCCTTAGAGGCGGTCTCGAGCATAAGGTCTCTCTATATGCTGACGACTTGGTATTATATATTTCTGATCCACTCAGGTCTCTCCCAGCGGTACTCCGGATTTTGGACAACTTTAGTACGTTCTCCGGCTACAAACTTAACTTGACTAAGAGCAAACTATTTCCAATTAATAGGGAGGCCATCTGTCTCATTTATGGAAGTTTTACCTTAAAGGTTGTTACTAACCAATTGAAATACCTTGGAATGTGTGTCACTAGGCATTTTTGTGACTTGTTCAAGAGTAACTTTCTTCCATAATTTGATCAAGCGAAGCAACTGCTATCTAAATAGTCGCCACTAGTCTCTTATGGGCAGAATAAACTGTGAAAATGTTGCTTCTCCCCAAATTTCTTTATCTCTTCCAGTGTCTTCCAATTATGATCCCTAAATATTTTTTCTCTAGACTCCTTAATCCTCTCTTTTATCTGGAATGGCAAACATCCTAGGCTGAGAAATGCCTTCCTCAAGCGGCCTAGTGGGGATGGCCTTACCCAGTTTCCAGCACTACTACTGGGCTGCGAACATTAAGTGTATGTTGCACTGGAGGCACTTTCATCTTGAATCTTCATCTCCAATCTGGGTCACCATGGAGGTCTACGCAGTTGGTGCAACAGTCTCTTTCTGCACTCCTAGGTGCGCCACTTCCACTTTCCTGTTCTATCGCTACCGGGAGCACAGTGGTTAAGCAGTCCCTGAAAATCTGGTCTCAATTCAGAAAAACTCTGGGTCTTCAGGCTTTTTCACTTCTCAGTCCAATTGCAGCTAACCACTTGTTCTCTCCATCAAAGGCTGATGCTGCCTTTCTTTTTTGGCATAAAAAAGGTCATTTCACAGACTTATATTCTGATGATCTCTTTTCTAGTTTTGCCCAGCTGACAACAAAATTTGGGATTGCGTCCACTCAATTTTTCAGGTTCTTGCAGGTCAGGCATTACATGCAGAGTGTGATGCCCCAATTTCCAAGTAAACCCCTAGAGAACCCACTGGATGAGTTTTTATTGGTAAACCCCACAGTGGGATGAGTAATGTCTAAGCTTTATAACTCTATCACTAAACTATGTTTTCCTTCATTGGTGGCTATTAAAACTGCCTGGGAGCAGGACCTCAATTTTACAATCTCAGATGAGGTGTGAGCATCCATACTGGGCCAGGTGCACTCCTCATCTATGTGTGCTCGGTAGGGCTGCAACAAACGATTATTTGGATAATCGATTAATCGGATGGGGTCTCGACACGATTAATCGATTAATCGGATTACATGGGGACATTTTTAAAAACTGCTAGGGAAACGTTATTTTTCTCCTTCCTTCACTTTATTAAACACAACATTATTAGAAAACAGTTCAATAGCAGAAAAACAACATGCCATCACCTAAATTGTCTTATAAGGTGTATAGACAGAGACCCTAAGCTACACCTATCTGTGACCTAAAATGCTTGGTCCAAGTTAAACAGCTTAAAGAGCAAGTCAACCCCTACCAGAGTCTAACTCCACTCCCACTTCATGTTTGAAAAATGCAACACATGCTGTTGCCTGGCAGACCGAGAGGGCGGAGCCGCTAACAAATACACACACACTCAGGCTCATGACAGCATTGTGACATCATAATGTACCAGTTTACATCATAGCCAATAGCAGTGGCAGATTTAAATTAAAATACAGTGCAGAGTTTTTACCTGACAACGGCACAACACTGCCAGTTTTAGGCAGAATATTTAAATTTTAACTAAGATGCACTGAAGTGCCAAATTATTGACGACACGCGTCTGCAGCACGATTAGACACTCGTTTATTTAGTTCATCAGCAAAAAAAAGTTTATTTGGGGGTGACTTGCTCTTTAAGGGCAATTCTCATCTGTTTTGTTTGATCTCATCTGTAGACATTTATTATAATTGGGGATGTCAAACAACTAATTTTTAAATGTAATTAAATATAGGCTGTGAATTAATCAAAATTAATCACTATTTCCAAAAATGACTGAAAAAATACCAAATAAAACAAAAGAAAATGAATGCCATTCTCCTTGGGCAACTGCCATAAAGTCACATCAAGAAATGCTGCTGATCATTCCAATGATCCCAAATAGACTCACATTAGGCCACATGAAAGCAACTGAACCCAAAAATATATTAACCAGTATATAACTGCACTCTCACACAACACGCCTGCAGCAACAGTTAGGACTCCTCCCTCCCTTATAAAAGCGTTTTCGCTTCTGAGGACATTGTGGTTGTAAAGCCACAAGTTAGTAGTCTGGCCCCGGTGTGATCAACCAGTTTCTGCGGGAATGTGACGGCGGAACCGGTTCGCAGCGGCGCGAGTCCCCCCCCCCCCGCCTATCTAATAGCGTCGCGCTTACAATTTTATAGACTTTTTTTTACGAGCTTAGGGCATGTCTAGCCTGTGTAATAATCCGGAGCTTGGGTGAATCACTTTTGAAAAGTTTTTAACTTACCCGGACACCGAGCTCTCTCCTTCCTCGCTGATGATTCTGACATGCTTGCGTTTAAGACGCTGCATCATCACCGTAGTATCCCCGTGCCATGCTAAGTCTGACCTACAAACGTTGCATGTCTTCGCCTGATTTAACTGAAAATGCTCCCAAACTTTAGAAGTTTTTACTTTTTTGGGGTCTCGCTGCTTCTGCCATGTTCCTCTTGCAAACACCTGCCGGCTCTCCACCGGTCTGCGCGCAACGGCGGGCGGGAGGGGAGGGGGCTTTTGGAAGAGTTGCGCAACACAACGAATCGATGACGCAATTCGTTGCCAACGCTTTTAGTAATCGATTTTCATCGAATTTATCGATTCGTTGTTGCAGCCCTAGTGCTCGGCATGCACTAGTGCAGTTTAAGGTGGTTCAATGTATGCACCTGTCTAAGGCCAAGTTGGCATGTCTATACCCAAACATAGACCCAACTTGCGAAAAATGTAGGGGTGCTCCTGGCTCTTTACTACATATGTATTGGTCGTGCCCCTCCCTGGCTAACTTTTGGAGATCAGTTTTTGGCACAATATCTGAAGTTCTGCAGTGTCAGGTGGAGCCAAACCCTGTCTCTGCTATACTTGGTGTCGCCCCAGATCTGACCTTACCACATTCCACACTAAGAATCCTATCCTTTTTGACCTCTGGCCAGAAGAGCTGTTTTGCTGAAGGTGAAGGACTCTTTTCCTCCCTCTCATGCCTACTGGATAAGAGATACCAAGTTATGCATGGATCTTGAAAAAATCAGATACACTGTTTGTGGTTCTGTAAACAAATTCTATAAAGCTTGACAAACTTTTTTGACATTCGTCGAGAAATCCACAACTAATGTTTCTGAGTAGTGCCCCCAATTAATTAATTAATTAATTAATTAATTAATTAATTTTTGTTTGTTTTTCTGTGTTTTTTTCTCCTCTCTTCCTTTCCTGTTCAGGCTTGGCAGTCTGGGGTTTGTTCTTGGGGTAAAACTTGAGAAAATTCATGTTGTTTTGAAATGTACTTGTCAGGTCTATTTTTCTAAAATAAAAAAAGACGTGTATAAAAACCAGATCTTTATGTTGAAGACCTATTTTATAGTCAAAGCAACATGAAACGTGACTGAGGAGAAAACTTTCATCTGTTTTTAGGGACGAAATCCAGACTCACTCTGATCTTCTTCCAGGTCACTGTCACTGTCTGCTTGGGCCAGTCCATGCTTCTGAAGATGTCTCTTGATGCTGAACCTGGTCCTCCGGAACCTCCCCTGACCCTTTAGCTTGGGCTGATCCACCGAGTCCGTCACCGTGAAAAGGCTCTTGTCTTTGGGCTGGGAAACCTCTGTGCTGCTTTTAGCTGGAGCAACAGAGGTGGAAGAAGCAGCTGCAGCCTGGAAGCAAATCACCACATGAAGTTTGGAGGCACCAAGGTTTCTGAGCTCATATTAACACCCAAAGCTAACTGAGCTCAGGCTAGCATACACAGCTAAACCATTGAAACATATACTTGTGCTCAGACTAGCATACACAGCTAACTGATCGTGCATTCCAGTTGTCCTTGGAGCAGGAAATGACGTAATGGGCTTGTTTTGTGTTCCAGCTTCCAGCTCGTAAAAAAGGATGCCACCAGTGTTGTTGAGTACTAAACCAAAATATTTATATAACCAAGTATTCTTCACATCTAAATAAAAGTGACACACACGCCCTTCGACAGTTGCCACATACAACAAGAAAACATTACAAATCAAAAGTAAAAAGCATAAACACTGGTGTATTTTGGCAGCAATGTTAACATTTTTAACACTGTAACTATTGATAACAACAATAAACAACTTACTGGTGCTGTTAAATAGCAAAAAGAAAGAAAACAGAACATATAAATGAGAAAAAAATAAAGACGATAACTACGTCCTGGTCGCACTGGGTGCAAACATCTTTCAATTTGGGATCTCGGGGTCCTCTGAAACCTACGAGCTCACAGCTCAGAATTCCTAATTCATTGCATCATTTCCGGCGAACCTATCTCTGAAAAACAAGTTATGAGGACAACTGGAACGCACCATGAGCTCAGACTAGCATATAGCTAACTGAGCTCAGACTAGCATGCACAGCTAACTGAGCTCAGATTAGCATATACAGCTAACCGAGCTCATATTAGCTTTCACAGTTAACTGAGCTCAGACTAGCATGCACAGCTAACTGAGCTCAGATTAGCATATACAGCTAACCGAGCTCATATTAGCTTTCACAGTTAACTGAGCTCAGACTAGCATTCACAGCTAACTGAGCTCAGACTAGCATACACAGCTAACAGAGCTCATATTAGCATACACAGCTAACTGAGCTCAGAGTAGCATATACAGCTAACTGAGCTCATATTAGCATTCACAGCTAACTGAGCTCAGACTAGCATATACAGCTAACTGAGCTCATATTAGCATTCACAGCTAACTGAGCTCAGACTAGCATCCAAAGCTAACCAAGCTCATACTAACCTATACAGCTAACTGAGCTCAAGACTAGAATATACAGCTAAATGAATTCAGACTAGCATCCAAAGCTAACATAGCTCAGACTAGCATACATGGCTAAATGAACTCAGACTAGCACCCAAAGCTAACATAGCTCAGACTAGCATACACAGCTTCCTGAGCTCATACTAACCTACACTACTAACTGAGCTCAAACTAGCAAAATTTTGCTAGTCACTTTAAAATACTAACCGTCTATGTGGGCCTCCACTGATGATGCATTCAATGACAAATTGACAACATGAAATTCCAATTTTAGGCAGAAAAAATTGCAAATACATGAAAGACCTGCTCCACGTGAGAAAGTGTCACACTCCCGATGTCCGTGAGTCGATGTTCCTTGTCATCCCAGCGTCCATATGCCAGGTCGATCCCACCCACGAAGGCCAATGACTGGTCGATGACGATTATCTTCTCGTGATGCGCCCACAGGTATACTGCAGAAGACACGTGGTCTGGGTGGCGAATCACCTGACAAACAAGACCTGACCGGTCAGACAGGAAACAGGAAGTGTGGGGTGGAACTGCAGGAACCCATCAGACCTTGATGTTGGGATGAAGGCGTAGCAGAGCCCTCTTGCTGTAACCGGAGTTTATTCCCAGAGTTAACTCCACCTCCTTGTAGAGCATCACAAAGATCCGCACACCTTGTTGCTGAAAAGTTCAAGCCTAAATTCAGACTCTTTAATTAACCCTGGACACAGTAAACTAAACAGGAAGTGATTCCTGCTCACCGCTTTCCGCTTCAGGATGCAGTCCAGACGCCATCGGTTTCCTTCAACCACTGGCCTCTTCAGGAAGATCTCTGGACTCAACCTGGAGACCAAAACAGGGTGTTTCTCAATGTCAAGGTACCTGGCCTTGCAAGGCGATGACTCGTGAGGCCAGGCACCTTGCTCACGAGGACACCATCCTTCCTTGGTCAAAGAAAACTGTTAAATGGAACAGACTTGCATCACGTCACATGACAGGGGAGGTGTTATATTTTATACGTATATGCTCAGTTAGCTAAACGGCTAACAAGCGGAGAACACAAGCCTCAGTAGAACAAGAATATTGGAACACGCCTTGGCGGTCCCTGATGACGTATCTCCTAGGCAACCGGGGCGCGGCGAAGAAATCAAGACAAGGTTCCTTGACATTGAGAAACGACCACTCAAATCTCACACCTGATAAACAAGCTCTACCTTCCACTTATAGCCCTTCCCACTTTCATTCCTAAGATCCCCTATTATTCCGGTCTTTTCCAAGCCCCCACAGTTCGGTTCTGAAAGTGAGGCCAATGCGGAAATGAAAAAAATTACAGTTCCACCCTCATCCACTAGGGGCTGGTGTCAGAAGCGAGCAAATCCTCATTGACTCCCATGTTAAAAATACCAATTTCACAGCAGAAATAAACATGTTTACAGCCTGGTACCAAAACATGTTTTTGGTTTAAATGATCTAGTTTACACTCATGACAACTCTGAGGGGGGTGAATTTTTTTCTCACTCTTCTGTTTAAGTGTATTAAAAGCCTAAATTTCTGTATAATTAATGAGCATCAGACCCACGTGACCACAGAGCTAGCTCCGTGGAAAGGCCTCAGTAGAGCCTCGGTCTGGCCTGGAAACTGTTCCGCCATTTTTAGACTCTTAACTTAGACCATTAGTTGCAGCGTTTGTGCATTCTTGTTTGGATATTTTTGTGCAATTGTTGGACAAAATGACTTGCTGTGGCATTAATTGCACTAACAGAGCATCCAAGGAGTCTCCACTTCATTTTTTTCGGTAAGTAAAATTATATTTATGTATTTTAGGTCACTGCCGAGCTGAGCTTAGATTTTAACATGTACTGTTTAACCATGAAATTTAAATGTAATAGGGTAAAACCCAGTGCATTTAACATAATGCTGCACTTTAGAAAATGGGTTGAAATAAAACATGTTGGTGGAGCTGGGTTCCCACTATCGGCTTGTGGAGCTCTCGGAGACCTCTGTGTTCCACCCGGTTTTACCCAGCGGTCAGCCCGGCGTATCTCTGACTCAGAAGCTCTGGTGTTGTGCACAGTTAACTCCGGTTGTAGCTAGGTTGCTACCTCCGTTAGCTTAGCTCCCACCTTCACGTTAGCTTTGGGTTAGCTTCAGATTAGCTTGTAGCTACATTAGCTTCAGTTCGACCGGGTGTCATCATTTGATCCCAGCCTTACAGCCCCACCCTCAGCTCCACCTCTCTTCCCTTTTGTGGAATTGTCTGGGCTTGACGGAACCTGTGACACAGACAAAATTGCGGTGGTGGCCACCTCCCATTTAGTCTCAAAAACTGATTATTGGAGTCTATGGAAACCCATTGTCCATATATATATATATATATATATATATATATATATATATATATATATATATATATATATATATATATGGACAATGGGTTTCCATATATATATATATATATATATATATATATATATACACATACATATATATGTCGATGCTTTTTTCCCATCCCTGCTCTCATCTTTATCTTACCTTATCCTTCCCTTAAACCATTTCTACTTTAACTTTCTTCTCTTCTTTAATTATTCTCCAAACAGGAAATCCAACACCACCAAAACATTCCTCACATCCAACTTCTTGGTCCACATGGAGAGGAAACCAACCAGTAGAAATATTCTATTCTGAGGCGCAGGAAGAGGGTGAGATGCGCATGCGCTGACGGCCGATCACCGGACACGGCAGCGTTTGAAGTTGATGGCAGCTCGTTAGCAAACATCCACAAACAATTAAGACGCATTTTTGCCTAATTTATTTACTGACAACACAAAAAATAATCTGGTAAGTATAACTCACTCAACCTGGAGGTAAGTGGAGAAAATTTTGAAAGTTTACAAAACTATATTGATGAAGTTTTAGAGTTTTTTGTTATGGGTCCAAAGAATTCAGCAGTTGAGACCGAAACACCTGGGAACAAGAGGAGCCGTCCTCAGGACTCGCCTGAGGCCTCATCTCCCCGTAAGGACATATTAGAACTATTAAATTCTATAGATAAATGGCTTCTGGGATTTGAGGGGTGACTCAACCTGCTTGAGGTTCTACACCAGGAGTTTCAGAACCTCCAAACATCGCTGGAGTTCAGCCAGGAGCAGGTTGAGCGGCTTGGTGCTGAGAACGTGTCTCTGCGGGAGTTCGTTTCTTCCCTGGAAGAGGGAAGGAAGCGGATCACCCAGGACAACAAGATTCTCAGAGACGGTTTTGGACCTTCAGGCCCGTAGCATGAGGAATAATTTGGTGTTCGCAGGTCTGCCAGAGCAGACGTGAGGGGCGGAGAACTGCGAGCATACAATCAAGAAGTTTCTCCAGACCAAACTGAAGATACCCAAAGAAACGGCAAAAACATCACCTTTCACCGGGTACATCGCCTTGGAGCTGGAAGAGTGGACAGCAGAAGACCTCATCCCATCGTGGCTAAATTTGAACATTTTAAACAGAAGGATCTTGTTAAAAGCCATGGAAGAGAGCTCAAAGGAAAATACTACAGCGTGAATGATAATTTCCTAGAAAAATCCTGGATCGGCGCCGAGTCCTCTTCCCGTGGCGCAAAAAGTTTATCCAGGATGGGAAGAGAGCTGTCATCTCGGTCGATAAGCTTTATGTGGACAATAAACTTTACAAGGAGCAAGGAGTGACTGACTGGCTGTATTAGCCCAACATCAGGTCAGACATTTATTATTCTTATCAGGATTCACTGGGTTTGATCACGTCAGGACTAAATAGCTGCTAGATCCGTGTTCTAGATGATGAGATCACCTGTTCTTAACCACCTCACACCCCTATCACCTTTTCTTGTTAGTTTTCTCTTCTTCTTTAACCTTTATCATTCTTTCTTTTCCTCTTTTTATCTGCTTCTGGACCTTTACTTCTGTATGGCACAAGCACACCACTTTCCAACACTGCGTCAGACTCAGCGAGCGCACGCACACACACACACAGGCACACATGCACGCACGCACGCACACACACACAGGCACACACGCACACAAAGGCGCGCACACACACACACACACATCACTCCGCTTCTCCTCCAGCTTCACTGGCTGCCAGTCAACTTCAGGGTTCATCTCAAGATCCTGGTTCTGGTCTATAGGACCTTACATGGACAAGCACCATCTTACATTGGTGATCTTCTTAGTCCCTACACCCCCAGCAGGTCCCTGAGGTCCAGTGATCAAAGCCTACTGGTTGTGCAGCACCAGGCTAAAGACCAAAGGTGACAGATCATTTGCTGCTGTGGCCCCCAGACTCTGGACCTCTCTCCCCCTGAGCCTGAGATCAGTGGACTCGGTGGTCTCCTTTAAAAAGAAGCTGAAGACTCACTTGTTCAAGCTGGCTTTTGTATGACCTTCTCTACCACTCTCTCTTTATTCTGCCCTCCCCACCTATCCCGGTTTCCCCTACAGATCACAACATGCCCTATAGGTTATAAATTGTAAGTCGCTTTGGATAAAAGCGTCTGCCAAATAAATAAACAAACATATTCCACCTTCCTCAGGATCCACTGATTTCCCTGTTTCCTATTCACTCTCTCTTTCTTAACATTTTTTAATCACAATTGTCTATTTTTTGCTCATTTTAAATAAATTTTTAACCCTTTTCTAAATTATTTTTTATATTTTTACATTTTTTGTTTTTGTGAAGCGCCTCGTGATTTTTATCTTGAAAGGTGCTATAGAAATGATATTTTCTTCTTCAAGCACACACACACACACACGCACACACACACACACATTAAATCTACAGCACAATATAACAATTTATGCGTCTCATAATACAACCACAAACACCGTTGTGTCCATTATTATTATTATTATTATTTATTTATTTTTCTGTTATTTATTAACATATTATTTTATACATTTAAGTACTTATTCCATCTTATTCACGTGAAGGCATCATATTCTAGCTACTCACACACACATCTATGGGTGCACTAAATTTTGTCTCATGGAACGTACATGGAGCTGGTGCCAGAGAGAAAAGATTAAAGATTTTTGATCAGTTAAAAAAGAGTGCAAGCAGACGTAATACTATTACAAGAGACTCATAGGTCTGCCACATCTGCAGATGAACTTAAAACACCTGAGTTTCCAAGCATGTTCTCTGCCTGCTAAAACTCTAGGCAAAGAGGTGTAGCTATTTTAATACACAAAAACATCAATTTCATAGTATTGGACACAGTTTCAGATCCAGAGGGTAGATTTATAATGTTAAAAATATCTGTACTGAACCAAAGCTTATGTATCGTCAGCATATACTGTCCAAATATTGATGACCCTTCATTCTTTCATAACTTTTTCTCTGTACTCTCCAAACACTTGGACTGTCCACTTAAACTTGGAGGCGATTTTAATTTTTGGATGGATACTTTAACAGACAGGCTCAGTACAGCTGGGACTCAGCGCAATTGGCAATCCACTAATGTACAAGTCTTTCTCAAAAAATTAGCATATTTCATCCGACCAATAGAAGAAAAGTGTTTTTAATACAAAAAAAGTCAACCTTCAAATAATTATGTTACGCACTCAATACTTGGTCGGGAATCCTTTTGCAGAAATGACTGCTTCAATGCGGCGTGGCATGGAGGCAATCAGCCTGTTGCACTGCTGAGGTGTTATGGAGGCCCAGGATGCTTTGATAGCGGCCTTAAGCTCATCCATAGTGTTGGGTCTTGCATCTCTCAACTTTCTCTTCACAATATCCCACAGATTCTCTACGGGGTTTAGATCAGGAGAGTTGGCAGGCCAATTGAGCACAGAAATATCATGGTCAGTGAACCATTTAGCAGTGC